ACTGAAGTCTATAATCCCTATTTGATGTACTAAAAGCAAGGTCAAAATATGTGGGCAAAATCTAAATTTTCAACTTCCTAATGAATTCTACTCTTCCGTATCATTTGTAAACTTTGTAAAGGTACATGTACGCATTTCATACTCGTAGTCGTATATAATTATGTTACACTTCAATATACCATGACGTACTGTATACTTAAGCCATAATACAGAGCTATCTTGGATAAAGTTATATCTACGCCGTGTGGTTCATGTGCAATTTATGAATGTAAAATATTCCTATGCAACTGAGCTTAAAGTTTTCTCTAGCTTCAAAATGTGGATTAGTAAAATTATATTTTATTTTAATATATTATATTTAAAAACATTTGCAAGGACCGTAATACCTATCTAGTACAAATATTATTAAAACTAGCTGCTGCCCCCAACTACGTCTGCGTTAAATAGCCTGTATAAGCTATATTATTGTAAAGTTTCATTAAAATCCATTCAGTAGTATTTGCGTGAAAGAGTAACAAACATCCATCCATACATACAAACTTTCGCCTTTATAATATTAGTAAGGATTTATTTTAATATTATTCATATTATATAAATGTTTTTTATTCCTATAGAAATAATATAAAACTTAAACGATGAAAACTGACGTCCCCGCTCCGTTCGGCGAATAGCAGCGAATGACACCTATAAGATTTCTCCAAGGATAAACAGGTGTATTATGTTTTACGAGTATCTTAGCCTTTAACCCTCTAAAATCCACTGAATCCCTCGGACTTACCCATGTCTCTTTATTTGAATAGATAGGGTACAGACGCGGGGCACCTTCTCGGTAAAATATTGCCTTCAAAACTGAAATAGCCCATTGAATAAAGTTTACCGTTCCCGGATAAGGTAAGAGAGCATTCTTCTTCTCCAAATTGGCAGTTATTATGCTCTCTTGCATAATAGTTGAAAAATACTTTGATAAAGTCAAAAGTGTCCTATGGTTCAAATTTGCGTAAGTATCCTATGACTGAAATTTCACCCGGCAGACGGGTCTGGGAGGTCTATCCGCGATGTTGGGTCGCCACTAGTGCGAGAGTAAATGTTTTATATGGTTGAAGCAGAGCTTTTATTGCCTGCCCCATTACGAATTGACGTATACCAAAGCTTTCTTATGGCTTACTATAGCATTTGGACGTGGATTGTCAGTCTGTCCCATAGTTATGAACTCTTGTAAAGTTGTAAGTATACTGTGAACTTGTTTTCACGGTGAACTTATAATAGAGACATTATAAAAGTATCTTTAAGACTGCGATTTAGACATACATACACATTTTTTCTAACATTTTTGCATACTGTATGAAAAAAACAAGCTTCAAATTGTAATCTGTGTGAAGTGGAGGAGAATGCACAACATTCATATTTTGCTGGAATGTGTTAAGAACAAAAAGGAAAGAGAGGGAAGCCCTGAGCTTGACCAATTACAAAATAGGAGTAGCTCAATCAATTTTATTGATTATTATCTTAAGGTTAATACTGTTAAGGTCAATACTGTTAAGCTTAATACTGTTGTGGTCACAATAGGGTTGACATTTTTTATGTGAAAAATACACAAGTTTGCTCATTCCTGCAACAGCAGAAGCTTTTGCGATGCCTTACCACAGTCAAAACAATGATAAAAACATAAAACACATCCAAACAATGATTAAAGAAAAATGTATTGAGACTACGAAAATATATTATACGTTTCACTACCTATGAAAAGGCACGTCACGAATACACCAATCTCAAACTTAACGATCGAAACAGGTGTGACGTCACGAAATTTTACAATCACCTTGTGCAAAGTACAAGTACAAAGCACATCAAGTGAGTCTGTACATTTTACTTTTTCACATTGTAATCAAAGTGTTGTAACGAGGTGGACGGTCGGATGACTAGCTTATAGCGATATTGCGTCTCAAGACAAGGGTCTCGAAGCATGGTTAGAATTACTGGAAAAATAAAATATAAATTTTTTCAAGGCATACATCTACAAATAAACGATGCTGCAAACCATTTTAATTAAATAATTACGACACTTTCATTAGTTTTGTCGTATTTTTTTGTATGTGAAAAGTTGCCAAGCGAGCAGACGGTTCAACTGATGTTAAGTGAATACCGCCACCCATGGACATCTACTACACCCGAGAGTTGCAGATGCGTTGACAACCTTTTGAAAATTGGGCTCCGGCCACCTCACTCACCAGACGAAACGCGAAAGTATTATACTTCCACTCTACGCCGGTCTTCTGTGAGGTCGTGGTACTTACCCGGACGAGCCTGCCCATTCGTGCAACAGCCGAGGCTGCTGCGTGGCCCTACCACCGTTGACGTAGGACCATTTCGTAATTATAATATGCACATAGTTAAACACCAATATGCGGACTGGAGTTAATTTGTAATAACAGCATCCTCTACGTCTTTTAGGACTTACTATGGAAATTTCACAAAACATGCGAGCACGGGCAACTTTTCTTTCAACATTTCAGATCTCACAAAAGGCGACGACGTCTATCATATTGATAGAAAGAAAAAAACGTTCTTTTCAAAAAATATTCTCAAGCTGCATAAACGAAGAACAATTTCCGGTACCTGCACCAATAAAATTTTAAATGATCACGTGCTCAACGGCGAGGGAAAAAATTGTGGGGAAACCTGCATATTAACAAAAAAAAAACAATATTTCGAAGATATGTGAAGTCCACCAATTCACAGTGGGATTGTGTGGTGGACGATGCCCTAATACCTTGTATACACAGGCCTGTTCTGCTTTACTTTACTTTTTACCTATCATATCAAAGTACGGTAGCACGGTACCGTTTCGCTTTTCAATACCGTACTAATTAGGAGGACGCTTCTGAAAGAGTAGTTTGAGATTAATTACAATTACTATAAAAGCACTACAAAACTTTTGAATAAAAAAAAATAAGATTTTTAAACATTGACATCACTCACGGTCGTATTTGTTAAAAAATATAATTCTTGATTTCGAATGATAGACGTTTAGGAATTTACATAAGATACATTGTATATACACATTGACAAAGGTGTATCTTAGATGTTATAGTATCCCACAGACGTTAGACGCCTCAACCTGCAAAGCCAACGAAATACCACAATCGTGACAAACCTACATGCCAAGCATATATACCAAGACATATATGAGCATATGTGGTTAGATTATCACATTATATTACTTTAAATGATGTGTAAATTTATATCTTTTTTCTGGTATACAGAAGTATTCATTATTTTTTTTTAAATACTTTAGACTAATGTATGTCAAAATAACAAACAAAACATTTAAAGAATGAAAAAGAAAAGTAATAAAAATAAATAGTATCACACGGTTATTGCATCAAGTTAAAAATGAAGCTAATGACAATTTCGATTCATGTTAAAAATAGAACACATTAGTGCTAGCTTGGTAAGATTGAAAATAAACGGAATAGAGAGGAGGTATATTTTATTAGATAAATTGATAACTTAAAACATCTTTTCGTTGTACCTGGTAAGTTTTTTACGATTAAAGGATTTAGCGTTATTTCTTCAGCCATTACTGTGTTAGCACCATCGCCAGCTCCAGCTAGCTCATGTTTTTTATGGTGAACTGTTTTTCAAATGTACCCTGGGGAGATAAAAATAATTGAAGAAAAGAATCAATTCCTACCTAAGCAGCTTGAAACGTATTTCAGTGTTTTTTCACTGTTGAATGTTAATGAGCAGTGATTATGATTTATAATCAGGTAGGTTTGCTCGTTCGCTTACTTAAAAACAACATCAAAAACAGTGTTTCTCTTCATGACAACAATCGGTATAAATTTAAATAAAACTATTTTACGGTTTTATCGCATTTAATTGTTCATTTTTAACGCCGCGAATAGCTGCATTGTCTACTCTGGAGGCAGGGGAAGACTTTCAAAAAGACAGACTATTAGAAATAAGACTTCTAAATCATTTCGGGCCGGTAAAATGTTATATTAGAATATTTCCCTTATAAATAGTCATGACGGTTCTCTATATGAAATTATCTTCAATTATTCTGGTAATGTCGAAATTCCACTCAAAATTTGGTCTAAAAATTGAGGACAAAGACAAATTTTAGATGCTATTAAAATTTTCGAAATACTAAGATCTAGAAATAGTAGTAGTCGTTTCTCGACCCTTTTACTGGGTTTGTGAGGTTCTTTATTATAACAGAATACAAAGCAATTGAATTGATACCTGTTGAATAAGATGGTTTGATCATTATTATTTATGTGTGATGACGGATCGTTAAATAAAAATACCCAATTAGGTATTCCTTTACTCCACGGCAATTTACTTCATCATTAGAAATTCTACGAAAGACAGACTTCAATTGCTAGAAGAAAATGAATTCATACGCCCTGTTTTAGTATACCATAATCCTGTGTTGTAAAGACCTTTAACAAAGAAAACACGGAAATCATGAACTATTTTAACGGTTGGAAAACCTATCGCTCAACAAGTCTAATTTAATAATGTAAAAAATTATTCACCTTCTATAAATTTAGACAGTATTGTAGTCGACGGCTAGATCATAATAAAAATTAGCAAGTTATAGAAAGCAAGATATATTTAAAGAAGTTTACAATTGTATTAACATTATAAACATCAGTTCATATATTCATTGTAGTACGGTACAAAGAATTGTGTAGACTTTCGTCAATAATTATATGCTGTCTTTTTGAAATTAAGGTATAAACAGCTAAATAACAAGTTATGGGAGAACACCGAACGAAGGGAATGATTGAAGTATTTTCTACCTGCCTGCCTTGAGAAAGATCACGACCAGTGGTATTTCCGATTTCGCAAATTATAGCAAATAAGTGCTACTTAGCTTTGTTACTTGTGTCGCCTAGTAGTGAAGCTTGTTACTTGTAGTTTGTATTAAATGTAAAAAATAAATTTAATAAAAGCCAAAATTGGGCCCAATAAAAATGACTTACTTTTTATTCCTCATTCGTTTCGTTAGATTGATTTTTACACATTGACTTGTGCACCACGCAAGCGGTGAACTCGTTGTCCATAACCACCGCAATCTCATTGTGTTTGGTTTCTATACGATACGCGATCGGTTTGTCGGTTACATCCTGCAGGCAAAGAAAGAAGTTCGTTATTTATGCTTACGGTATCTCTAATTTCAGAAATTACTTTGATGAAATTGATTCTAAATCATACTAAGCACAAGATAAAAATAGTAGATATGAAAATGGGATCTCACAGAAAATGGGGTTTGGGTTAACCCAACTTCTTTAAAGAAGAAGTTATAGACAAACAAAGCACTCACAATATCCGTTACGGCATGACAAATAGCTGTAGTAAAGTCGGGCAACTTCGTAATTAGTGTCTTAGCCATAATTTCGGGAAGTGTGCATAGTTCTGGATATTCTGTAATTATTGATTAAATGTTTCCTAAAGTTTAATTGCAAAGTTATAAGTGTAATAACTCATTAAGTTGCAAATATTCAAATTGCTTTTACAAACTAAAATATTGAATTTAATTTAGTTTGTATATTTTTGTGCAAGTACTGAATAAGTAATTATCACCCGTTACAGATGTCCTTTTTTTACTTGAAACCTTTTATTTTTGTGAACGTGATCTCCTTGGGAGGCAAACTTAAACACACATTGGTTTGGTAAATATATCAGCAACTATTACTATAGACAAAAAATTGTAATTTCGCATAGCTCCTGTATCTGTACTATTTTGTTTATATTCTTACACTATATTGATATTCACTGACGCCATCAAAAAGGGTAGGCAGAAAGTTACTAATGTCCACTTGGCCTCTGTATAGCATATAATAATACGATATGTTTATCAATATTATTTGTATTAGTTCCTCACCGTTATGGAAATACAGCACGCCAAAAACGTTAGGGTTCTTTTCGATTCGTGATATAGTTTTACGTGTAAATACGCAAAACTCCTGTACATTAAAAGACATGTTGGTGCATTAGATAATTTTAAAAATAATAACATATTAGTACATTCCAATTTTATGAAGAGAAGTTTCAATGTTGAAAGACATGATCAGGTTTTAATATGATCTGTTTGGCTACTCGCGGTCGGGCAAAAAAAAGTTTACTAAACTTTTTTTTATGTGAGATGAGGTCAAGCGAGCTGGCGGTTCACCTAATGTTAAGTGACAACTGCTGCCATAGATATTGGCAATATCCATAGGATTGCAGATGCGTTACCACTTTATAATAAAATGGGTCCCGGCTAACTCACTCAAACGAAACACAGAATTACTTTCACTTCACGCCGATTTTCTGTGAGGTCGTGGTACTTCCCCTACCATACGTTATGCCTACCACAGTTAAAACCTAAACTTGATTGTACGTTTATAGAATCAATTATACGTATATCCTTATAGTTTTTAATCAATATGTATTATCATCGCCCTCAATTGATTCGCAAGTTTTTTTTATGTGTTGAAAAAGTTGCCATATAAGAGCCCTGATAGCTCAGTGTCCGGGCGCTTTCCTTTAATTTAATATACTCGAGCAACCCGAGTTCGATCCCCGGTGCCAGCACCAGTGATATTGTTTATTTTAAGTGCTGACTTATCATGTGCTCCGCGGTGAAGGAAAACATCGTGAGGAAACCTGCATATTTTCGGAATAATAACAAAAAAAAATATTTTTCGAAGATATGTGAAGTCCGCCAATCCGCAGTGGGGCCGCGTGGTAGACTATGCCCTGATGCCCTCTGTATTGAAGAGGCCTTTGCCCAGCAGTGGGACATGTATAGGCTGTTACGTTACTTTACTTTTAAAAGTTGCCAAGCCGAGCAAGTGATTCACCTGATGTTAAGTGAATACCACCGCTCATGGACATCTGCCACACCCGAGGGTTTGCAGATGCGTTGACAACCTTTTTTTAAATTGGGCTCCGGCTACCTGACTCACCAGACGAAACGCGAAAGTATTTGTCATACTTCCATTTTACGCCGGTCTTCTGTGGGGTCGTGGTACTTACCCGGATGAGCCTGCCTATTCGTGCAACAGCCGAGGCTGCTGCGTGGCCCTACCACCGGTAAAGTTTTGTTGGCCTCAGGCTAACAGAATCGGTCGCTTTTATGAACTTACTAATAAAAATTCTAATACGCATACTACAAGTATGCGTTCCGAAAGCGGAAAACCAGAAGTGACTTTATAGATATTAAATAAAGGCAAAAATAAAGATGAAAACTCCGACCAGTTCTTCTACAGTAAATTGCATGTGCTAATGGACATTTAAAACAAACTAAACTTTCCATACATGTTTTTGGAACACTGTGTTTTGCTTTGGGACATCTAAAGATATACATACGTTATTTATGAGCTCAGTGGCATCTAATATAAAAGGAAGGACGCTGAAAACGCAATGGATTCTGGCTCATATATCCGAATACACGTAAATGATGAAGCGGGCAGATTGGCTAAAGTAGCTTTTCACAAGCAAATGAAATGATTATCATGCAGAAATATTATATAAATTTTAAATGGTTCTGTGTGGAGGTGAAGAGAATGTACATATTTTGATGAAACGTGGTACTAACGAAAAGGAAAGAGAGGAGCGTAAACAAAAAATGATAAAAAATATATAAATTTACAAAATTTTTTTTGTCTCGTGGATAACGAGCCACTGGACATTTGAAGATCACGTACTATATACAACATCCTTGTGTACGCTATGTTTTGCTTTGGGGCATTATGCGATTAACATACATTATTTAACATTCAAATCTCAGTTCTTTGAAACGTTGGGCTATCGACAATATAATCAAAGAGGTATGGTACCGAAACATAAATTAATAGACAACAATCTTACAGTTGGCAGCTCTCCCCTCTTTAATATCTTCTTGTATTTATTCTTCATGTTTAAATTGTAAAATAAAACAGTATAAACTGATATATAATAATGTAAATTTGTAGATTTTAGTTATTTATAATGTAAATATAAATATAAGACAAAATAAATGTCGTACTAAATTGTAAAACATCAGTTAGGCTATGGTATTGCATCTCTCAACGGACGGTTTCATCAAATGCCTCGGAAAGGACTTAATTTCCATATATTGAGAAATATTATGATTATAATTAACAAGTTAAGATTAAATATTAATGTTAACTAATTAATACCGTGTGGCAGTTATATTGGTTGATAGGTTTATGAGTTAAGAGTTAATATTGGTTATAAAATATCTAACAGACAATCCATACTAGTATTATAAATACGAAAGTAACTCTTGTCTGTCTGTCTCGCTTTTACGCCAAAACGACTCAACCGATTTAAATGAAATTTGGTATATAGATAGTCTAGAGCCTGAGAAAGGACATAGGGACTACTTTTTAATTTAAAAAATTATTGTAAGGGGTTGAAATTATCTTTCTTTAAAAAATGTATATAGTTTTTAAAGAAGCATATTTATTTAAGGGCTTCAACGCGAGCGAAGCCGCGGGCGAATATATATTACCTATGTTGCATTTGTAAAATCCAGGATCAATAAAACCTGCATAGTCCTTATATAAAACGACTACCGAAGTTTATTGTTGATATTTTCCAAGTCAAAGTGTTTTTTTTATTTAATTAGTACTGTGTTTGTACAATACTTTGTTTATTCAAAAGGTGTATACAGTTACTTTCTTTTAATAACCGGTGACCGAGCATACGTGGGACACGGATGTATGGAATATTTATTCAAAAGGCAATTTAGAAACTAAACTTGTTAAGGAAACTAATAACAAGCCACTGAACAACGACGGCCACTGGCTTTTATGTGAATTGTTTAGATTGCGGTTTAACTTCATACTTGAAGCTTTAAAAGGTATAGTTGAGGGGAATAGAAATTTAAATGATATGGGGCTATGAAGACGGCTTAGATTTGCCATTTTATTTCTGTTTTTATTTTTAGTTAGTGCTACTTATATCCCATCTTATGATAATCAGTAGTGATGTAGTTTTGGGTGATAAATTCACTAGCTCAGCACAAGTCTATTCCCTATTTTCTCGAAGACACTTGCATTTTCATGGTTAATAGTAACGGATTACTACTACGAAAATAATGTTTACACTGCATCTTGTATAACTGTCCTACGTTTAAACGTTTTATCGACTACGATTTTTTTTAACGTTTTTAGAGTTTCATAACTTAAATGGTCACAACAAAGATCACTCTCTGTCCGTCTGTCCATTTGGCATCATCGATTTTCTCAGGAACGGGTGTACCTACTCTTTTACGGTCAAAGCCATTTGCCTATTGAACGCGCTTCCTCCACACATCCAGCGCTCAAAAAAGTTACGCAAGTTTAAAACTGACGTTAAAAATTATTATCTGTCACTGTGTTCAAGCTGATTATCACCGACGACATTTGTATATTTATTTTTTATTATTTTCTTCCTGTATATATTTTTTTAAGTTATTGTACAGTATATATCAGTCGAAGTCGCGCCGTGGTGTGGAACAGCTGTGCGCTAATTAAAAAATTCGCTCACATATTACATACTAACTCAAAATAGTACAAGGAATTTTGAACATTTTTCTCAAACGTATAAAGTCGTAATTGTAATAACGGCCTTTATAACTATTGAAGTGCATATTGCCCTACTATATCAGTGCTTCCCAAACTGTGCAATCTAATTGTCATGCCGATCTGCAGTAAGTGTAAAGATCATGTTGCCGATGGTGCGGACTGCAGTCTTTGTAAGAGTTTTTCTACATTTCCACTGCGCAGGTATCAGCGAATCTGGATACCGTAAATTAGGTGATCGAAAAATGACATGGCGTTGCCCAAAGTGTAAACAAGGACATGCCAAATCCCCATCACAATCCCCAGTCGTTAAGCTTTTGGGAACAAATGACACCGAGCATCAGGAGATAACTACGGCGCAGTTAATGAAAGAAATCAAGGATATTGCAACAAAGCTTAATCCTTTGGATTCAATTGTCGCTGATATTAAACACCTGAAGGACAGTCTCGCGCAACTCCAGAAAACTAATATCCAAACTAACAACGTCTTACAAGAACTCTCTAAGAAGGTAGTGCACATCGAATCGCGAATTTCCCAAATTGAGCGGGAGAAAGAGAATATTGTTTGTCTACAACAAAAGGTTGATAAAATTGAAGAGCAAATGCAAATAAAGGACCAATGGGCGCGTCTAAACAATGCTGAAATTAAAGGAGTGCCCATGAAAAAAGGCGAAAACCTCATGGACATTGTTTTTGCTGTAGGTTCTAAGGTTGATTTTGCAATATCAAAAAGTCAAGTAAATTATGTCACCAGGGTGCCAAATCGTGATCCTAACAGCACCAAACCGATAATTGTATGTTTCAACAACCGCTTTGTTAAGGAAGACTTTGTAACGGCTGCCAGAAAAAAATGCTCTACGCTCACCGCTACTGCTATTGGAATGCAGGGCAACAAACAGGATTTTTGTAAATGATCACCTCACTGCTTTCAATAAAACACTGCTTAATAAGACAAAAACCATAGCTCAAGAAAAAAACTTTCAGTTTGTATGGGTGAAGAATTCAAAAATCCTAGCACGGAGGGATGCAACTTCTCCGATAGTGTATGTGAAGACAGAAAAGGATCTTCAAAAAATAATTTAAGTAATAGTCAAGTTTTAATTAACGTTTTTAAATTTAGGTTAAAAAATTTCAATAAAATTAATAAAGCTCAAAAATGTTTTGAAACCACTGGATGGGTGCGAGTGAGTCATGTTATAATGCTTGTGTATTTCGTTCACTGTTCGTGCGAGCTCAAACTAAGAACGGGTAAACAGGTAATTCGCATCACTATTTTCGCCCATATGACTATTAAGGTATCGTTGATATTTCATTACAGTGTCTGCTTTGTGTTTGCTATAATTGCATTTGTGCTACGTATAAACAATATTTTTGCTTTTATGTCGCTTGTTGGTACACACGCTTATTTCGTTTACGCTAGTGTTACAAAA